TACATCCGAAATTTTAACAAAATAAAAATCACAGCTTCATTATTAATCAAACAATCGTCTATTTAGATACAAATTTCGAATATTACTTTTTGATTACTTCTACAAATTATATTACCTTTCTATATTTATAGTCAAGTGTAGGGATAAATATCAGAACTTTTTTAACTAAAAATAAACGCATTTCACTATTAATAAAATGATCTTATATGTAAACACATTTTGGGTACATTATTTTCAGATTGATTCTGTAAATTATAAATTATATCTCCATTCATGATTAAGTGTGAACAATGTTATAATAATTAACTTGTGTAATTTAAATGATATAATATTTAAATTGATCAATATATGTTTTTAAAAAAACCAAATACACACAAAGGTTGAAGTAATAATAAATACAAATAAAAGTTAAGAAACATTCTGCAATGAATAAACGTAAGCTTATGCTGCGACATTTGTGCAAAACTACTTTCATTATTAATAAATTTCAGTCTGTTTCAAAATCATTTCTGGAACATCTTTTGTTTTGGAAGAGTTTGTAAAATCAGGATATTAGATAAGCGTATGGGAATTAAAAAAGAATCGTATCTAGAGTTCCAGATGGTTTGAAATGTTATCCGTGAGAAAAGGAGAAGTATATTGCGATTGAAGTGCGTACATTTGTTCTTTTTTTCAAAAAAGATAACGATGTAATTCAGTAGGTAAGTGATTATAAAAGACCCCACTAAGTAGAAGGTACATACTTTTGAGTTCTGTTAGTGAACTTGGCACCTTTCAACAATCACCATGCGATTCTTTTTGACCTGTCTTGTGGCTGCCCTCTGTGTCATGGTAAGAAATTGTTTGATGTTCTTCACCCTTTTTCAGCTATTAAAAAAAATTACAATACATTAAAAGAATCTGAAAAATTTCAAATATTAAAAATTCTAAAAATCATTCCTTTGTTAACGAATGCTTTTAATTGTAATAATTATTTCAATTCATACAAAAATGTACTTAATTGGCTGTTTCATATTAAATTATACTATTACCTACTCACACAGAAATTTATTATTGAATATTTATCTTGAATTGTTTTTGCTTAAACATTTGAAAACATGCACTTGAGATATAAACGTGAAATTAGCCTCGAATCAAGATGTTTCTATCTTCAGTTTCCTTCTTTGCTGCTGCTTAGAGCAGCATTTTTTTTATATTACTTGTTTTAATATTTTCAAAGATATTTTTATAAAACTGTAACTGGCGCTCTAATTAGAACTATTTAAGATTTGGAAATAATTTGAATAGAAAATAATCATAGGAATTTATAGAAAATATTTTAATACGATTTGATATCTATAATGATTTTGAGTAATAGACAATTGCATATCTAAAAAGATTCCTGTCATTATAAAAAAAAACACTCAAAATTTTTTAAAAAAAGTTTGAATGTACAGGTGTTTGGGATTAAGTATCCAAAAGTTATCGCTAATTATTACGGAACTACCCATCAGAACGTAATAAACTGTTCATCCGTGGATTGGAAATCCTCCGAGATTTTTTGGGTCTAATCTGATCGGCTGCACGTGCATCCATTATTTGGAAATAGCAGACGATAAACTTGTTACACTGACATTAGTAGTAAAAATGTAAATGCCATAGCAAAATGTGCAGTGCGTTCTTTGGTTAACGGAATTTAAAGGAGTCACGCTTGAACAGAGACGTGTTCGAATGTAATGAGATGTCGTTACTGGGGCTTGCCTAATAGATTTATCAAAACTCCTACAAAATGAATCACGCACATGATCAACAGTGTCTTCTATCACGAAATTTTAAGGATATTTTCCAGTTTGAAATAACAAAGCTCCCTGCTCTTTTAAACTTCTTTCCTATATTTGAAAGGATTTTGATGCCGAAGGATCGACACATGTCGCTGTACACGCGTGACTCATTGAAATTGCGTTAACCAAAGTACGCACTGCACCTTTTGCTAAGGCGTCCACATCTTTACTACTAATGTCAATGTAACAAGTTTATTGTCTGCGATTGCCAAATAATGCATGCACGTGCAGCCGATCGGACAAGACCCAAAAATTCTCGGAAGGGTTTCCGATCTACGGATAACTGTTTATTACATTCTGATGAGTAGTTCCGTAATAATAAGCCATGACTTTTGGATACTTTAAGCCCGGACGCCCAATATAAGATTTATTTAAAATGCGAACATTAATTAACAGAAGAAAACCCTTTTTTAGAATTATCTGAATAAAAATAAACCCTATGCTTCGTTATTTAATTATTGCATTATTAATACTGTATTCTATCTACAGCAGTTTCATTAAATAAGAAAGTATCTAAACTACTTTAGAACTGATAATAAACTGATTTGAATCCAAAAATCGAATAAAGAAAAGTAAATCATTCACAAGAGCTCAATCTATTTTGTAAATCTCACTAAAAACCATTCGATACCTATTTAAGCCTTTAATTATTAATAAAATATGACGTATGCGTGCTTCAACAAATTAATTGTGATTTCAATTAGACTATGCAATTCAGTCTGTCAGATAGGGCAGAAAGATAAAAATATAATTAAATAATTATGCAACGAATTCTTAAGAAGTTGTTCCGTTATAAAAGTTGATGAGAAGATATGTTTGGAAATAACTATCAAACCAAATATTTATTCATCTAAGCTAACTTTTCATTGTTTTTTATTACAGGCTGCTTCTGCTGCCTTGTCCTGCTTTGGGGATGCTGATAAGTGTGGGGAAGATGAATGCTGCATCCAAGTCGGAAACACCCCTGTTGGAATGTGCAGGAAACGACACGAAGTTGGTAAGAAAACTATTCACTCATTCATAGTTTTCGGCTCTATCTAATTAGGGCCGTTTATAAACTCCCCGGCGCTCTAGGCATTTCAAATTGTTCGTACAGATGAATGAATCACAACGTTGCAAATTTTCCTTACAATTCAGACAATTTTCTGTCTGAATGTGTGTTCCACGTTTAGTTCGGACTCTCTTACTTTTGACGAAAAAAACCATAAAGAAAATTCAATTTATTGTGTTATCAAGCCAAAATTCGTCAATGAACTATTTTCTCGCTAGTAATGTGTTTTTAGTTAATTTGTTTCATGATAGATTTTATTTGATGTCCAAATCCATTATTCTCTCTGCTTAATATACCTCAGTAATAGCTCTGCTGCCTCGAGGGCCTTAGAATATGTGATTGGAGTCCTTTTTGGTTCATTTTACTTCCCGAGAAACGGTGATCTAAACATATAAAATAAATGGGGGAAAAGTGTTAATGATTGTTGGTAACAATAAGTCGTGGCATTCTCCAAACAGAAAATTAACCTGAATTGCATAAAATTAAAAATAATAATTATCACGTCTGGGAGTGTTTTTATATAAATGATTGTGTTTATCAAAGAAACCATAATAAAATTGCGTGCTAACGAAGTTTCTCTGAACTTCTATATTCGTCTTTCATTCAGTTTCCTAATTTAAAGCAGAATTTTTTATTGATCATTTTAATAATTATTTATTTCAATAGTATTGATATATACTTTCTGAAAAATAGCTATTTTGATGAAAGAAGGATCATTTTCCCGATGAGAAACATATAAAATAGTTATCAACTGATAAGAAAATTTTTTCAATGAGAGTAAGAGACCGAACTGATATACTAAGTTGATGGTCAACATAAATGAGTACAATAGCTAAATGTACAAGAAATTTTAAAAATTTAGAATTCCTTCACAGCATTTACAGACAGTATATAGCATTCAAATAGATAAAATTTAGACTTTGGGAAGGTTATATTGAGAGGGGGGCTATATTAATTGCATAAAATATCATATACGGTTTTTCTGTTTCATTATAATTATTACAGAGACAATTTTAAAAAAAAAGAGTTGTTAAAAAAATGTTTACCCTCCCCCTTTACACGCAGTAGTTAAGATAGTAGCATTTTGTAGTTGTGTTAGTGGCCTTTAAAATTCACTACTGTATAGTACAGTAATTCACTACTGAAAGTATTTTTATTGATAAAATTAATAAGAATACTCCTTAAGTATGGAAAAAAATTAAAACTAAAGGGCATATACGTCTATCAAAGAGAAAATAAAATAATAATATATGTTATAATTACAAAAAACTTTAGAGCACCTCCAAAATAATTTTAGAATCTTCAGATTCAACAGAATTCTCTAATGAATTTAAACAATCGCTTCCTTATATTATGTATGCTAAATTGTTTTATAAATTTTCGGAGAGTTATTGTTTAAATCGATACATTTCCTTCTTAAATATTGATATTGTAGATTCGACAAATCATTGGTATTGGACTTCATATCCACTTTATATCGATGATCCAATGGTACGGAATTTTTTTTTAAAAACAAGTAAAGGAATTTGGAAAACATTTTTAATATTTCATTATCCCATAAGAATCTACAGTACTTACATACTATCCCAACAATGCCAACGTTCAAGATAACTCACCAAGTTGGCAACCCCATTTCGCATGTGTCGTACGCGCTGAATTGGCAACCGTGCTTCGTTTCTCATTATGCCGCCTATTCGTTTGCGATAGTACGTCAGTACCAAATTTACTTTTCAGGGGGGGGGGGATTTTCATGAAAAATATGATGGTTAGAATGAGCAATATGATATAATAATATTGCTTATTCTATTTATTTAATTTGTTTCATACAGAAAATTGTATTAATTTTCGTATAGAGTACTTTTCAAGTATAGTAAAAAATTTTACGGTAAAATTTCAGACGAAGTCTGTGAAATGAAACCCATGAAGAACTTGCTCAAGGATCATGTCTACAAGATTAGGTGCCCATGTTTAAATGGACTCAAGTGCGTTTCCTCAAAGGGAGGATTGCTTGGTGTAAGTATTTCCATTTACCATACGTATAAACTAATAATCCTTAGCGAATCCCATTATACCTTTTCATTTTATGTAGGAGAATCAAATCTCTTTGAAAAATACATTAGTTTTTACCCGGCTGGATGGCTTAGTTGGTTTAGCATTGGCCTTGTACGCCCAAGTTTTCAGGTTCGATCTGATTTAAGTTGGTGGATTTTCATGATGCAAAAAATCGACAGCGACCATGTTGTATGATTATGCAGCACGTTAAAGATCCCCGAGTGCTTGGGTGATTTCGACAAAATTCCTCTCTCTGGGGAGGAAACTTGGCGTCAAAATTACACTGTGGGAATTGGTATCCACCTATACGGCGCCACACTAAAATATGATATCGGCTCCCGGGGAATGTATTAGGTCTACAAAGGTAATTTACAATCCACAGCTCCATTGAAAAAAACACACATTAGTCTATTTAAGTTCTTTCCATTGAAATGTACCACTAAATAATAAAAATGAAAGAATGTTTTATCTTTCTTTGAATGAAAGCAAAAATGCTGGATTAAACATTTTTTTCCTTGTCTCAACTTCAAAATCAAGAAGATCATAATAAAACTAATTTAAAAACAATTTTTTAAAAAAAAGTCTAATTTAAATTTTATTATGTATAGAATATCTATAATTTTCAGTTAACAAAAAAATTTTAGCATTTAAATGAAAAATTTTATCTGACATCCCAACAATAGTTTCTATTTTCTCCCTGAAAGTTTAATTTCCTCCCCATTTACATTCCTGATAAGGCATCTTTTGCAAAACATTTGTATTTGTATATTGCATATACTGCTTATGTTCTTAGAGAATACGTTTTCTCTTCTAAAATATATTGATTCTTATTTTTGATAACTTATTTCGTACGCCAACTCTATACTTTTTCTGAATATATTTTTATCTTTCTGAAATATACCACATTTCTAACTATACCAAAAATGCACCGAATATTGACAATTTTTTGTACTTTTTGGCTCACATTTTATCTGACAGAACTAAATTTTCCTAATAATATATTAAAATATCAGTTACATATATGCTATTTAATTAAAAAGGGAAAGTGTACACAAACAAGAGTCTCAAAGACAAACACAGTTAATTCAATCGCCAGTTCGTCCAATCAATAAAATTATAATATGGCTATTTAAACATTTTTACACTTCCGTATGAGATATTTGACTGAATATTCTTTTATTACAGAAATTTGCAGGCAAATGCCAACAAGATAGTGGTGAAGAACCATCTGAAGAATAGATTGTATCCAAGTATATTCTGTAATAAAATTATTTCATGAATCGTTTCTCGTAGTTCTTAATGTTGAATGTAGTGAATATAAATACTGCTGGAAAAAATATTTATCATGCATTTATAATGAAAGTAGAAGCGTGAGGACTATTGGTGAATGAATAAACAATTCTGAACGACCGTGAAATGAAGAGGATCTGAATATATATATATATATACATTATATTTTGAAAATAGTTTCATTGACAACTCAAAATATTGCATTTTTCGCTATATACATGATATAATCATTTTTGGCTAGCAAGAAAACTTTAAACCTAACATTAATTTTTATCCACAATATCTTAATTTAGTACAGACAAATAGTAACAACTATGAAGTACATTTTCTTGACATAGAAATTAAATTAAAAGATAATAAAATGATTACTAATATTTATGATAAACGAGAAGACTTTAATTTCAATATTATAAAAGTACCACATTGGGGGAGTAATGTACATGTTTCTATATTCAAAAATATTGTTATTAATTACACACAATGCAATAAATTTCTAGTTTCAAATAAATCAGAAAAAATAAAAAACGATAAACATTTTACTAAATACTGTTTAATTCAAGAATAACCAATTTATTTTATTAATAGATATTTGAATAAAGAAATTCTAAATAGTAAGGATTAAATTTCCATAGTTTATTAACAGGTTATTATTATAAATTTATCATTCTTCCTAGATAGATATAGGTACCTCCAAATTCTATTTTTAGATAAAATTACTTTATTAAAATTTAATTTGATTTATTATTTTTTTAAATCATATAATCTTAGTGTCCCTAAGATAATGGTAGTATGTTTACAATTCTTAATTTATTATTTCTATTCTTTTCATTCTTTTGCTAAGTGCTACTTTTCAGCCATTGCCATGCTTTGAATTTGTATTTGGGTCCAGAATCTGGCAATAACTTGTTTATTGGACTCAGATTTAGCGCGGGCTCTGTATTTTTGAATGAAATTTTTAGGTAAGTTACCTTTTTCTCATATTGGATTCAGACTTTCTATTCATTATTTTCAATAGGTTTTTGCTCAGTATTATTAACAGAAAGGGGGAAGGTTGGCTGGCCACAAAACATGTTCAACCCCACTTTTATATAAATTATTTTATATATAAGCTGCCCTAAGTCAGCAATGCTGATAATACTGTAGCATCCATTCTTTTATATTTTTATATTTAACTCTATTATTTTAATTTTTCATATTTCCTTTTAAATTCTATTGTTTGGTTATATTGCAATTTCAATTCTTTTCAGTTTTAATCATGTATATTCGTCTCTCTCTTGTAGAGAAATTTTGATTATATATATATATATATAAGCATTCTTTTCTCATAACTTCCACATCATTTCAATGGGAGGATTGAATCTCAATAGATTTAAGAGCCCTGCTATCTTTCGATTACAAATCAGTTTTTTTTTTCAAACCGCACAACGTGGTGCACATATTGAGATTTTCTATCACTTCAAAGATTTCATCCAGAGATTCCCAAATATTTTTGTATCACTGACCGCTTGCCATGTTTTTCGGTTTGGGGTCAGTCTCTGATTAACTAATATTGAATTTTTGCAAATTTGCTTAAATGTCTTTTTGACAACTGGTATAGAGCTACTTACTTTAAACGATTTAAATTTTTAACTGAAGTGCAGTGTATAAAACTTAAGAAAAACATGTGAATTAAAATGAATTTAATTAATACATAAAATAACTGAGCAACAAACAAATGCTTTTAATGGGATAAAAAAATATGATGTTCCACAATAACAATTTTTCAAAATTTGGAATCAATTATATCAGGTTTAACCTTAAATCTCCTCGGTTAGTAGTGTCCAGCCCTTATTTCCGCCCTTTTTTTTTTCGTTTTGGAGATTGGCAACCACACTGAAACTCCTTCTCACTAGTGAAAGAAATAAAATTTTTCTCACGATATTCCATAATTCGTGATAAATAAAAGGTATGTCTTTTGAAAGCCAAAGGGGCTGACATGGTTCTTGTTTTAATAAAATTGTTGCTGTCCCCTTGTAAACCAAGAGTCCCCGACCCCTCAAAAGCCAGATGTCTTCAAGTACATGTCTTATTGAAGCGGTATATTTGAAATACTAGGTAATAAAAATTAACGATCGGAGCCGGCAAACTTCTGTTAAGCCATGTGTTCTATATTCCCGAACTGGGTAATAAATTTAATACTTGAAGATGTAACGGGAAGATAAAAGTTAGAAGTGGATTAGCGATTTAGTTTTAGATCTAATTTAATTATCCTTACATTCCCCCCCCCCATTTTAAAATTGGAGTAACGGTGGTCTTTCTCTCTTACAAACATAGTAAATTTTCAATATATACAAAACAGTACATAACATAATATAGAAACACATTTTACGCATAGTAAATAGAATTAAGTAACACGAATAATAAAATCAAAATACAATACAATAAACGAAATTATAGCAATAAACAAAATAATAACACTTTTAAAATATTAATTGATATAATGAAATTCCTTACACATAAATGTACATTAGCGTTTTCAAATCTATATTGCATCCAGAAAAAGAGCTTAACGTTTCCTCCAAATCTTTCGTATTATTAATTTGTGTTATTGCTAGCACATAGTCTACCTATGTGTAGTGTATGTGTGGAAATTTATCATATTAAACAATAATATAATTTAAAAATACATGATATACAAATATTAAGATACTAATTTTCTATTAAAATATACTCAAGCGCCTTCGTAATACTACTTAATGTTGTTACATAAAAATATACATAGCTGAAATACACTGTTAAAATAAATTAAATGTAAAAAAAACTTTTTTAAGAACAAGCTTTTATTTAAACGCGCTAAAAGAATAAAATAAACTTTCCTTTAAAACTTTTTTTACTATCAACTTATAACGTCATTACACAATTATATGATATAAAGCTTGTCGCAATATTTAAGTACTCATATTTACTTAGTTTGAATTTTTAAAAACCAAAATCAATCAGGTCAAGTTATTATTTTACTTGTTTATCTACACAGGTAAATCTCGCGACAAGCTTTTATATCATATAAATTGTGTAATGACGTTATAAGTTGATAGTAAAAAAAGTTTTAAAGGAAAGTTTATTTTATTCTTTTTAGCGCGTTTAAATAAAAGCTTGTTCTTAAAAAAGTTTTTTTACATTTAATTTATTTTTTACTTTTTAGTTATCGCTGGACAGGTTTCTCACCTGTTCAACTCATTGAACCTGGTTCGCCATCCCTGGTTTAGCTGAATGAATTCTCGCAAAATGGTATTAGACTAAAAACACAATTTTTTTAAATCCGTAATTTTTAAGCAATTTTTTCAATCTTCATGCAGATTTTGGCTAACATTGTTCTACACACGAAAAAAAAAGGTTTAGTGAGATTATCTTCATAAATGACAAAGTTATAAATGTTTAATTAAAATTTTGACTATTTTTGAAAAACTTAAAGAATATATTATTTATTTGAAATATTTTGAAGATAAGGGATGTATTCTCTAACATATTAGAAGAAAATTTTAATTGTTTATTAAAAACTTCAAAAGGCATTTAAATATTTGTATTAATCAATAAAATGCTTAAGACTAAAAACGCATTTTGTAATAAAAAAAAAAGTTTTATCAAATAATGATAATTTTTTGCTGGACATTGAATATCTTTTACGTAAGAATCTATTTTTTTTTTAATTGCTCAGATCATCTTTAGAAACTTGATTTTGAAAAAATCAATAATTAAATTCAAATAAAATTAACAGATTCTATTTGTAATTAAATTTAAGGACACATGTCGTAAGTGTGTGTTTAGATTACTGGTGATAAAATGAGGTATATTTAAATTACTCGTAGGCTTAAAATTAGAA